GCGTGGATCTCGGTGACTTGATCTACCAGGAGAACATCTCCAACATGGCGCTAATCTCAGTGCCAACAAAATATCTGAAAAATCGTACATTTARATATCTTCCCTTTCGATCAGGGGTGATCAAGTATAACATGCCATTCATATCGAAAGATTTTGATATAGAACTTAAAGAAGTTGTCATAAACAAGTGCGCCACTTACATAATTCCTTATCAGGAGAAGCTCTACATATTAGACACAACTGAGCCTGACGAACCAAATGGTAATGGAATCAGAGAGGATGTGTTTGTTTGCGTTGATTTAAATACAGGAGTCAAGCATCAATGCTCTGGTCTTCCAGAGGAAGTGCCTTCRAATGGCCTGAGTGTTGTTTGCGGGATCTATTTATTCATAATTGGAGGTCAAAAGTGTATTCACAGCAGTGCTCTTGAAAGTCTTACACTTGGGAAAACTGTGTTCAGATATGATCTTGTGAACGAYAAGTGGACAAAAATGACATCCACTCTATTTGGTCATTCTCGGAACAATGTTTTTGCTGTTGAATTTGCTCTTTCTTACCGTAATCGGTTCATTTATGTATTTGGAATAGACTGCGAGAGATATGACTTATATACAAACACTTGGACCCCCGTATTTGTGCATCAYTCTTTCCAAAGAGGTATATGCTGTTCGTCCGCCCATGTACTCAATGGTGATATCTATCTACTTGTGATCCCAAGAGATCAGCCCACTGTTCGATGTTTTGTTTACAGTGCTTCCAATAACACTTGGCAAGAGCCGTTTAAACATGTYGCTTATTGTCACATAACCAAAGTTTTCTTTGGAAGGACCATGGACATTTCTAAGGAGCTTTTAGAACAAGGGCCTAACAATCGCCAGAATCAGTACAAAATTTCTGAGCTAAAGATTTCTAAAGGTGGATCAAATAGAAAATTGAAAGTGTCAAATGAAAAAGCATTTATTTCYAATCTGGGCTCAGRTTTTGTAGCTTATGAYGCTACTATTTTGAGTAGAGGAAAAAGCTTTAAACTCAAACAGACCTGAGAGTGCAAGAGATATATGTTGGAAACTTCAATTGTGAGATGTAATGGTGATGATCAGCAGCAATAGCAAGGATAGTGATGATAATAGTCATGATGATATCAAAGATTTCTTGGGCTGGGGGTTGTCCAAGTGGTGC